GAAAATAGGACAGTTCCGATGATCAGCTTGGTACAGGAGATAAGAAAGGTCAGTAGTAGTGCTTATTTGTTAGATGAATGTGAAAAATGTCGAGTTATCTAAATCCCAGAGGAGTGAATTGAGTGGTCGAGGGCTAAGTATGCGTTGCCAACCGGATGGAGGTGAAGAGTCAAGGGGAGGGCCAGATAAACAAACTTGAGGTGCCAAGCTTGTTACCTTGGGAGGCCTGAAGGCAGTTGGCATCAGTTGCAGTTGTTTAAGTACCTTTGTTTCAGACAGCCTCGCAACGAATGTCTGTTTCAGGCCGGTGCAACTGACACACATAGAAACATCATTAGGGTGGACTGGAGGTGCTTGCCTTGACACAGTCAGCTCATAGCTGAGATGACTATGAGCAGATGAACACAGCGGGAGCCAGTAAATACACCCTTACACGCAGTGGCAACCAAGTTAGTCAGTCTGAGAATGGTAGAGTGTACAAGTGTGAAGCAAGCATTTACGGGCTTCAGCGAGTTCACTTTTATAGGCAAGTCACCGTGTCTTGGACAAACTGTCGCTCGAGTAGCCGGGACCACTTGGAAGGAATTCATGAATCAATCTGTGGACCCCGAACGAGGTGGGGTATTCGAAATTCCTAGCTCCGATGCAAATGGAAGTGGTCTTTATGGGCCCAATACATCTGACCAGATGGTAGGAGCCTGTTTGGCCAGCCATCAGTACAAAGTAGTCTTGGAAATGAGACATGATGGTGGCTATCGCAAGTGTATGGAGCAGACGAGCTCCATAAGTCAATTATCTGAAGGCTTAAGTGTGGTGATGACGAACGTAAAGACGCTCTTGATGATAGGGAATCGTAGTAGTGACATTGTATTACGGTTAGGTCAATCCGCTGTACTTTCCAGGAGAATCTGGACCCTCTCCATCCTTTTCAGAACTCGCATTCCACAGGACAGTGGCCCAGCCACTAAATCTGGCAGGGTCAACCTCTTCCTATGTACATTTGGGGGCAATAAGTGATATTGTGAAGGAAGAAAAGTTGGGTTTCGAGGAATCTTTTGTTTCATAATTGTTGAGCTTACTTCCATTTCGAGTTGAAGTGTTGGGTGAAGAGATTCGAAGGTCGGTTTCATCAGAGTTTTCTTGACTCATTAGCTTGAATTTTGTTGTGAAGATGATACCTCGCTCTGATGATGTCCATCATATGACGGACGAAAGCTTAACACGTTTTCACCGGAATGGAATGAGATTGCTTTGGAAACAGCGTCAGTATGAATGTTCCAGTAAAGCCAATTGACAGCTGGTCAAGAGGAATCCGCCATCGTCTTCTAGTGGAACCGACCTTCGAATCTCTTCACGCAACACTTCCACTCGAAATGGAAGTAAGCTCAACAATATTGTGAAGGACCGAAATGTCCAAAAGTGTACAAACAAATACACAACACTTGATCAACCACAATTACACTCCAACGTATGAACATTCTGGACCAAGAATATTGCCGTTTGAACTGTTGATTACGACATGTTTAGGTGCTTATTGGAAGGTATTCCTGTCTCGTAGGCAGAGCCGCTATAATATACTCATGGGATTTGTAGATAATCACAGCCTTCGTTATGAGACGTCTCCGTGCACGAGAGTTAACAAGGGCCTGACTGACATGGTAGCGAACTTTCCGCAAACATCAACATTCCCATTCCAGCTGGTATGTCTTCCTTCTTTAAAGGCTCAAATGAAATCAACTTTGGCCTTGTATTCGTTTTCGTCTTATGCAAACACATGCCCACAGAGTAGCGGAAATGAGCCCTTGCCAAGCAAGTGCTCATTGCATTTCGCCGCAGGGCGAGTAACGCTAATTGATGATAATGACGCCCAACTGACTGACCGACTGTCGACTCATTCGCATTGAAGCTGAAAGAATCAGGTCTTTCAATGCCGCCTGGGTTAGGAGGTTAGGTTAGTTTAGTATATTTTTGCGCTATTTTGTAAAGTATGCATTTTGCTCCGAAGATGTTTGTCACGGGGATACAGACGACAGCTTGGCATAGATTCGTCGGGCACGTAGGACGGCACAATACAACATTCTTCCCTCGTTCGACTTCAGATGAGACCGCATCACTACTTCCTTTCAACCAACTTGACTTTCTAAATGAAATTTCGTGTTGTAATCTGTCATTGAGGCGGTCTTCGAAACCCAGTTTTTCGTCAAATCTACGATGGAAACAGGTCAACCAACCCAACAAGACCATGACGCCAGTCTCTCGGTTAACACCTCCTGACCGGGACATATTGAATAATGGTGAAAAATACAATTGGTATGACCAGGTACAAGCCCCGTCTTTAAGCCAAATGGTAGGCCCCCAAGTTTATTGGTCCCCTCAGCCAGACAATCGCAGAGACAGCCAGACATACAGAAAAGGGGTCGGTAATGCTAAAACCATTACAATGAGTTGCCGAGGCGGAGAGGCATATGACCAAGCCTAATGTCGGATGAACAGTCCAAGCATATGCAACAGGACTGTGATGTAATTAGTCCTACTAAATTAAAGCGAAAGCACACTTACAATATATATATATATATATACATTTATATATTTATATAATAATTCTCTTATGCAGTAGCTGGCAGGGTTGCTATGGCGCAAGTAGGCTAGACAGACAAGCTCTGTGGTGCTCTACAAAGCGGGGGCTAGGTCGTGTGCGCATGGCGTTGAGCCAGTTGGCCTCCCTTTCTCTATGAAAGGGGTCTTCAGGCAATCCGGAGAAGCAGGAGCAGCCCACGATGAGGTCACACAGTTTGCCTCGAAGTGTTTTCAACACACATCTTCTCCTACCTCTTGTCCATCAGCGATCGTCCGCCATTCGAGTCCGAGCAGATGCCCACCATAAATGTTGGCCAAACGAATTGTGCACTGCTGCTGTGCTGCCTCGGCCTGCTTGCACCAACACTCGGACAGACAGAGACGAGCAGAGAACACGGTTAAGGAGCCGACCAGCACAAGTAGATAAAAGGGAGGCTAACAGCAGGTTGTCTTATGACCTGAGATCTCTCCAAGTCAGGATGACCCTCATCTAAGATGGTACAACCTCAGCAGGATCTCGAATTAAGTGGCTGGACGGACTTCTGTGCAGACAGCGAATCGGCCCCGAATTGCATGCAAATAGTTTTGGCAAGGCATTGTGATAGACTAAAAATGCATGTATGCATTAAAATAGTAAGTTTATCTCATTTTTTCGTGTAATTGAGGCGGATGTTTACAGTAATAAGTGAATGCATACAACTGGGAGTAGTCAGTGCGGTGGTACGGGACAGGAAATTATGGCTTTCTTTCTGCACATTTAAGCAGCCAAATATGCACTGGACATGGCCGTGTATTGGGCCAGAGTGAACTTCATTCAAAAGGCTTCGTAACAAAAAGTGAAACAACTCTGAGTCCGAGGTTTCGCCCGGCAACCGAGGCCGATCACGTGAAGAGAATACGTGAAGACTGCCAATGCCCTGTGGCCCAGCAACATTTCTCGTCCTGACTCCATAGCCCAGAGATGATTCGTTCTCCCCGAGGGACTCGTAATCAGACAATGGCCTCCACTTCACTCGGACGCATTGCCCTAGTGAGAATGGCAAGCATTTCTGCCATGGCAACCCAATTTAACTATAATGAGGCTATGTAAGGAGGCAAAAGTGAATTTGTCATTGTATTCTCAAGAGCCCCTCACGTGCTTTCAGTATGACTCGAGTTGTTTATTAGGAAATATTATCAAAGAATATAACGTTTGGAATTGCCCAGCCTACTTGCTGGCAATCATGCAGACTGGCTTGAATAGTGAATATTTAACAACAAAGGCAGACACATACAGGTTGGGTAAGAATGAAGTGTTGCACTCCAAAAAACGTCCACACTTTATAAGGGGCTGGAGTGTGGTCCTTGTTAGCTGGGGCAAATCCAACCTGCCAAAAAGAGTG